CTTATATAAGGTAAATGACTTTGTGTCATTTTTTCCATATTTATGCTATTAGTTTGTATTATATTATATGATGGTTAATTTGAAATCTTATTTTTGTTTTTGTTTCTTGTGTTTTTTGTAAGGGAGATGTCTTAACACAATATATGGTCTATGATTATACTTTACTTTTCTTGGAGTTTCTGTGTGTGATTTAAAGATGTTTTTCATTTTTTGTTAATTTTCTAATTACTTTATTATTTATTTATTTTTTGTAGGTAGAAGAATGGATACCATCTTAACTCTGATTTCTTCTTTTCCATTTGTAGATTTTTCTTTCTCTTTTTTTTTTATGGATGTAAATTTTTCGTAGATATATTGACTTGTGTAATTGATAACTAACTTTTGTATGAAAATATCAATATTATTATTAACGTATATTAATTTTAAATTAAAATTTTAATTTTTTTTATTGAGCTTTAATCACCATATTATTATTGAGTTTCAATGATAATAATAATAATGCATTAATTATTATTATTATTATTATATTAAAACTCAATAGTAAAAATTATTTTTTAAAATTTAACAAAAGTATTAGCGTCAGCTATTTGATTAACTCTCATTCTGACAAAATTAATTATCACCAAAACTTGGAATTCACCAAATAACATATATTTGTGTGAACATATATATATCAACTTGAACTCACACAATTACTTTGGATATTAGTGTTAGTCTTTTTGGTGTTGACGCTGATACATTTGTGTCATGCTTTTCAATATTGGAATCACTGTTTACTTAATTGATGCATTTGTTTTTCTATTTGCGTCAATTCTCCTTCTATTTGCGTCCATATTTTCTCACGCAGATGGGGTTGCATTTATATAAGCGGTTAACTCGCGTGAAGAATCAGGGGTCGTGCGGAAGTTGCTGGGCGTTTGAGACTGTGACGGCGATGGAAGGGATAAACCATATTGTCACCGAAAACTTGACGGAGCCGTCGAAACAAGTGCTGATCGATTGTGATACCACGTACAACAACGGGTGCAATGGAGGTCTGATGGGTTGTGCATTTCCCTTCATTGTTTCTAATGGTGGGCTTCGCAATGAGGAAGACTACCCATATATCATGGAGGAAGAAACTTGTTCTTCGATGAGAAAGGTATACATACAGAATGCCCAACCCACAATTGTTTTGAGCTTAGGCCCATATTGTTATGCCTGTTTTGATTTTCTTTGTTCTATTTTTTATTTAGTATATTAATATGAGACGTTGACCATAAGTGGGCAATAGACATGTGTTTGCGAACAATGAAGAGAGATTGTTGAAGGCACTAGCAAGCGTGGCCATTGAGGCTTCTGCGTGAGACTTCCAATTTTACTGCTGGGGGTCAAGCGAATGAATCAAGCTTGAATTGTTTGTTAAGAACTCTATCGATTCTTTTATATATTAATGTTATAATTTTCATTTGAACTTTGAATCCCAAGAACCTGTGATTAGATTTCTACTCTGTATGAATTTATTATGAATTGATCATGAAATTGAAGAAGTTTCTAATATGGTGATCGAGGAACCTCAAATAATAAAAATGTCATGATAATATAGTAAACATAAAGTAAAAGAGAGGAAGACATAATATTACGTGATTTGGGATAATGTTAGGATATCATAATGCATTAAGACCCCCTTAATACATGATACGAAAGTCTTTGTGGTCTTTATAATTTATTTCCTTTCATTCTTTTCTTACATATGAATAATTTTATTTATAAGATAAGGGATACATAATATAAAAAATAACAATTAATTAAAAATCTTCCGATTAATGAGATTATAGTTAATATATCAAATCCTTAAAATCAATCAATTGATTTCTTGTGATTTGATCAATCTTCATAATAGCATGATATTATTTCTTTTTATAATCAAATTGTATTCTTTCATTCTTTTATATTATGATCAATCATATTATCATTCGATCTAACTTGCTTATAAATAACCTCTTAGGGCTTGTAGAGAGAACTCTAGAAGATGGCCAAATGGTCTCCTCTAGTCTCTTTTGTCCCTATAAAAAGGTAAAAGGTTTTTCCTTTTTAGATGGCCAAATAGTCTCTTCAATTTTTTTTTTTTTTTTTGTCTCTCTCTCCATTATTTTTCTTGTTTTATCTCTCTCTTTTTTTTTTTTCCTCGAAGGAAAGATGGGAAAATAAAAGGGTGGCAAAAAAAAACAAAAACAAAAACAAAAACAGAAATGAAACCCTACTCAACTTTTACTTGAAAAAGCTAAGTATGGTATTGGACCAACTTGAGAGGATGGCATGATATTACATGGTCCCTGATGTATCAAGGCTTCCCTAGTTCATGATACAAAAGCTTTTGTGGCTTTTGCACATTTATTTCTTTTCATTTTTTTCACTCTTTTCTCACACATGAGCAATCCTATTTACAGAGTAAAAATACATCATATAAAAAAATAACAATTAATTGAAAATTTTCTTATTAATAACATTACAATCAATATCAAATACTTGAAATCAATCAATTTATTTATCAATTAATTTCTCGTGATTTAATCGATCCTTATAATAGTATAATATTCCTTCTTTCTATGATCGAATCGTATTCTTTCTTCCTCTCATATTATAATCAATTATATTATAATTTGATTCTCTTTAAAAGTTCCATATTGTATCAATTTAGAAGACATATATTTCATTAATTGAGTTATAAATTTTTAGAGAACTCTCGATATTTTATATATAACTAAAAAGTGTAGGATTCAAATTTTATTAACTCACAAAATTCAAAAAAGAAAGAAAAAAAAAAAGACTTCAATTTGACAAGAAAAACAAACCCAGTTAAGTTAGAGTAACAATTGAAGGTTCAAACTTTCTTGCCTCTAAAAGAAGAAAAAAAAAATAACTCTTGCATTTTAGTTTAGTATAACCCGTACCTACTTGTAGTATTTACAAGAAATTGAATTATGTGTTTATCTATGCAGTTGCAGCACTGTTGTTAAGAGAAGGAGAACCTACGTGTTTGGAGACACACAAATCCACAATTCCATATGGCCATGATCTTAATTGTCCATCTCACCGTCCATATCATTGTCGGTCTCATTATCCTCTAGGGATTTACCTCTGGTTTCCCGCGCGAAGAAATACGTCACTGCTGCACCCAAAAGACACACGATCCCCAACGACAGTAATGCCCATGTCATCCTAACAGGATGGGGATCGTCGTGCGAGTTCGGATGGTCGGGCAAGTCCGAGTCCGTACGCTTCTTTGATGCCCATAAAAACCCAATAGTCCCAATAATCGCACCCACTTTTCCCATTGCTCCGGAGATCCCGTGACACGTCGATCTGAATCTTGCCGGAAACAGCTCCGCTGGAACTATGAACGTGGTTGTGTTTGGTCCAAAATTGGCAAAAAAGAAGGTCAAGCCGTAGAGAATCCCAAACCCTATATTCACGTTACGTTTGTCATGTTGCCAATAGTGTATGTAGGGTATTCCAATTGCAAAGTAAACCAATGCCATCATTAAAAAACCCCACAATTGGATTT